CTTCTATTAAGAATTGTAGTTATATTTGAGCTAAACAAAATAGAGGGAATAAGCTCTTAAACAGAGAATTGTTGCATTAGTCAATTCATAATTTCGACTGCGGAAAAACATACTCAAAATTTTAAAATAAGCACCTTGAACCTTAAATATTGTAAAATATTTCAGTAACTAAATAAAAGCATAAAAATCTGTCAAAGTTACGTAGGTGAAAGATAGCTTTTTTGAACTGTAAATAAATCATGGGGCAAATAAATGTAATTAAAAAGCAATATATGTGCAGATTAATGAACTTTCTTGCCTCTTTGATACAGTCTATGTCTTTTAATATTCCAAATATATTATCTGTTTGAATATATGAATACGGGAGACTATTAAAATTGCGTCTTTGTAATTAATGTTAGTTTATGGTTATTATTAGCATAACATTGTTAGTATCCATGTCAATAAAAGTTCTTAAAATAGATCAAATTGCCATTCATACCTATGTTGCTTTAAGAGGCGCGTTGAGACAAGCCGTCGCTCCGAGGCTAAACAATATTGGGTCGGGCCCAAACTATGAGAGGCTTCAAGGCTCGGAGCATCCGCCTGACCTAGCCTCTTTTTATCCAGGTTTTCGAAACCGTTAGTTTCCATTCTGAGGGTTGGAGTCTGATGAGTTTTCAAGAAGGGCACTATATTTGCTGCAGAGTGGCACGCAAAGACCGCCTCGTCATGATAATCATCTTCCCCATCAGCGCCACAGACTGCATAGATTGCATATGGATTGCCGCAACTAACTTGATTTACAGACTCGCTGACTAGAGTGGTGGACTCGATGGATGCGGCGGAAACTGAAGGAGAGGAGGTAGCCGTTGTGCTTGAGATAGTTTCTCTGAAAGATTGTTCAATATCCTCCTCGCTGAGTCTCTGACGACGGCGGGAGCATTTGCTTTTCTGAGAGGCGTCGAGTGCATGAATCATCTTCCGAGTGAATTGTTTCCGTTCCGGGATAAATTGAAGGCCCAGAGAAGTTTGGTTTGGTAAATTAGTCTGTAAATTGGTCTTATTCAATGCAAGATTAGAAGATAGAGGAAGGGGAAGCAGAGGTGCTGTGTTTGAATAAATGGGGTGAGTGCTGTCCCTCTGCACTGGCTGATGTGAGACTGCTTGAGGACAGATGGATGGATGCATCCTCCTTATAATGCAGTTTTTTTGATAAATACTCGATGAACGATTGTGCTGATAATTGTGCTGGTGGATGAGTCTTGGCTCGCAACAGAACCCAGAAGCGTGTACGCAAAGTGGCCTTACAGCGGGGGAGCAGAGCACAGCTGTGTTGGAAATATCAGTAGAATCAATGGTGACATTGGCCGAGCAGCTGATAGATCTACCGATCCCGATGTCAGCAATGGTGAGGTGGGTGCCTAATGGTAGCCCAGGTAAGGGTGTTGGCGCAATAGGTTGCCCTGCATGGATAAATAGAAGTTGGTCAATCATGCAAAATGGAGGCAGATAGCCCCAAGAGCAAAAAGAGGCTGACGAAGAATTTAATAAATAACGAATTAAAAAGAAGCCTGTAACGAAGACGAGAAAATATTCCAAAAACATTTTGTTTCTTCGCTAAATTATTCTCTCTTATTCTATATCTTCTGAGATGATGACTCTTCTCGGCATCAATGGATTTGCACTTAGATAAGCGGTAGAGACAGGCATCATGTACATTATGTACTGTGGATCCAGGTTTGGATGAAATGTGTGATAACGGCTAAGTTATATACTATTTCCATGTTAACATACCTATGGATACGATCGAAGATGCTGGTGGTGGGGATTCGAAACTTGGCACTACCGGAAACCGAATAAGTAATGCCTTGGCGTTCTCGATCATTGTCCTGCGACCCCAATGAATCATTGATAAACTTCAGTCTGTCTCTCTATGACAGATAGCCTGCGCAGAAACCATCATTTATAAAAATTCTACAAGTCTTTAAATCAGAAAGGGTAGTCAGCTGAAATCCTACTTAATTCTTATAATTATTCTTCCGATCTTAATGAGGCGCCTCATGGCTTGCTTGGGTATTTAATGCTTATCTTAGATAGAAGCAAATATTAATGAAAGTGAAGCCTAAAGAGGTTAAATATGGTCATGGCTATTTTCTTGTATAATTATCGTTTGATCCTGCGATGCTGAAACCTGTTTGATTGAATTGTTTCTTAATCATTATTAGAAACTTTCTAGATAGGTGGACAAGTAATTTGCTGATTGATAGCAAGGCAGGGAGAATATAGAGGAATAATGTTATTTAATGAATTCACGAGAGTTATGAAATAATGGTAAGTATCCTTTTTTTAATATCCTTGTCGGTAAAAAGGAGAAAAAATATGGCAAGAATGTATATGGAAAACTTAAAAAAGGGTTTCTTCCTTAATTTCTTCACTAATCAAACTTGTGGGGTTACAGTAGGAATAATGAAATCAATGATAATACTAAGTCTGCGTATAGCAGATATTACTGATAAGTGAATAGATGGTAAATTTAAGATAAATATTAGTTGGAAAACATTAATAATTG